AAACCAAACTGAGAACTTAATCCTAATAAATCTAGCAAAGTAAATTTATAAATATGGTGATTCCCCAGTTATCCTAAACATTCCAACATGGCTGATATATTTTCTAAAATTTTCTTATACTTTCCATCTAAAAATCTTAAGACACAATAAAATATTCCAGAATATTAGGATTCATCTGTTGGATTGACTGATCTTGGAATGTCAAATTCTTAAATACCAAACTAAATTAAAGGTATTGACATATTTGTTATGGGCTAAATGTAATATTCTATACTTTACACTAAGCTTCCCAGAGTTAAAGACTGTAACACTAAGGAAACAATAACTTCTTTCCCATCTCAGTGTACTATGCTGACCAAGGTCAGCGTCTAAAGTTGTTATTTTTTTGAGGTAAGCCCTTAAAAAAAGAGTTGATTGGGGCGCCTGGGTGGCTCAATTGTTAGGCATCTGCCCTTGGCTCAGGTCATGATCCCAGGGTCCTGGGATCGAGCCCCGCATCGGGCTCCCTGCTCGGCGGGAAGCCTGCTTCTCCCTCTCCCTCTCTTCCTGCTTGTGTTCCCTCTCTTGCTGTGTCTCTTTTTGTCAAATAAATAAATAAAATCTTAAAAAAAAAAAAAAAGAGTTGCTCTTCTGATCCATGTGCCTGGGATTCCAGCAACTATTTACTTAATTTTTAAGTTTAATTTGAGTCTGAATCCTTGTTTCTCCATGCCCCCACAATCAGGTGGTTTCATCACTTCATTGCATCATTCTGCTGGATAATTAATTATTAATTCTTAATTAATTAAATTAAAAGAATTAAATTCTAGTTAAAAAATTAAAAGTATTAATTTTAATATTCTTCATGTTTGCTGAGGTCACAATATCTACAGACGTATAAATGACATCCAATTTTATTTAGTTATTTGTTTTTTTCTTTTAATTTTTATTAGTAAAGGATAGTTGACATATAATGTTATATGTTTCAGGTGTGAAACATAATGATTCCATAATCCTATATATTACGAAATGCTCACCAGAGTGTAGTTACCATCTGTCACTATACAACATTTTTATAATATTATTGACTATATTTCCTATGCTGTACTTTTCATCCCCATGACTTATTTATTTTATAACGGGAAGTTTGTATCTCTTAATCCCCTTCACCTATTTCACCCCGTCTAGTTTTATTTTATATACCTCTCATGTTTTGATGTCATTCTAAATGATAATCACCATGTAAATATTACTCTAGAACCACCTCATGTTCTATTATTTCATTTCCTATCTTGAAAATATTATTTTTCATTATTTTTACTTTTGCTTTGTTATTTTGCTCCCACTATAGTTTATAGACTCAAAGACAGGCTCTTTTTTGTTTTATATGTTAACATATCTAAAATCAGAACTCCAAAAATGAAAGTTTAGAAATACCTTGATCAATTTACTTTGTTTGTATTTCTTCTTTATATATAATCAGTGTGCTATAAATCCATGTCTACCTAAGTCTAAATTTCAATACATATAAAATAAAAAATTAGTCACACTTAATTGGTCAACCATTTCTTTCTTAGCAGTATGTAAAATGATGGTACATTTTAGAATCTAGGATATCTTAGATTTCATGAAATATACTGTCATTTTTTTTTTTAAGGATTTTTTATTTATTTATTTGACAGAGAGAGAGAGAGCGAGAGCAGGGGGAGTGGGAGAGGGAGAAGCAGGCTTCCTGCCGAGCAGAGAGCCCGATATGGGACTCGATCCCAGGACCCTGGGGTCATGACCTGAGCCGAAGGCAGAGGCTTAATGACTGAGCCACCCAGACTCCCAAAATATACTGTCATTTATTTATTCTAAAACTCTCTGAAAGAAGTGTAAAATTCCTTTTGGTATTGTGAACCACATCAGGTCATAATCTGGTATTTCTCCATGTTCTAGTCTGATCTCCTTGTTCTTGGAGTCTCTTGTTACTGTAGAACTTCCTTCTCTCTCCTCTCTTGAATCCCCTAGTCCTGGGATCTCCTATCTCCTTTCTTGGGTTATTCCCTCATACGGCAGAGCTCACTCTTGAGATCTTGAATTTCTGGAAAATATTTTAGCCTCACTTCATTTAATAATAATAGTTCTTATTAGCAGTAGTAGTAGTTTTTTCTGTGTGGGTTGCCTTTAAAAAAAAAATTCTTTTTTTCAGGAACATTTGTCATTTAGATGCTGCTCATTCTAGATTGATTCCCAATTTTTCTTGTTTCCTATTTTCTACTTTTTTGTCTGTTTTTCTGTTTTCAAATAGATTTTGTCAAACTTATCTTTTAAACCTTCAATTGAATTTTTAATTTTTGCTACTCTGTTTAATTTCTAAGGGTTCTCTCTTGCTTTTCAAATGTTCCTTCAAAAAATTGTATTACTTCCTTGTCCTCTTATTTATTTTATAATGTTTATTTTATTATAGAGTTTTCTTCTGCTATCTGTATCATTCCTGTTTCATCCATGTTCCTGTTTGTTTGTTTGTTTTGCTCTCTTTCACATTAAATGCTTTCTTCAAGGTCAGGATCCTGGGCTGGCCAATTTGCCCAGAGAGAAATCCTCCAACCCTTGTCTGGGGGTTATAAGCCCATTGCCAGTGATCAGTGAACTAAGTGGGGGAAGGAGGGCAATGGGCTCAGTTAATCTGGTTAATCCCATATTTTATTATGGTGTTGTACCTTCCCCCAACCCTGTATCTGGGTCTCAGGCTAGAGGCTCTCAGAGAAAAAGCCTCTGCCTTTAGCCTGGATTGTAGGGAGGATATGGCCTGAGTTAATGGGTGAAGACCTACCTGGTGCTTCTGCTGGGGTGTTTAAGTAGGGGAGAAAGGCACAAAATACACTTTAATAAGTGAGTGGAAATTTTAAAGACAACTATTACAAGAAGGAAAACAAGATCCAGTTATGTGAACCTTCTTTACTATCCTTTTTCATTCACTCAACAAGTATTAAGTATTTACTTTGCGCTTGTAAAAGACAACCCAAATACAGCGATCATCCAGAAGCCAGTCACAATTTCTATTTCAAGAGCTTAGAGACAAGCCCAGAGAACTTTCTAGAAATCCTTATGTAATTAATCAGTTAACTAACTACATTTGCATTAAGCGCTGTGGAGCAAAAGACAATGTCCTGAGTGTATATAAGTGGAGGAAGACCATGTTCTGATGCTTGAGTGTATGTGTTGGACCAAGAGTTAACTAGACAAGGTTGGGAGACTAGAGTTAGCATGGGGGCAGGAAGACATTCCAGGCAGAGGGAATTCAGGATGTTTAAAGGACTTGAGGTCTAGAAATTGGAAGACAGTGGGCTTGCTTAGGAATGGAAAGGAAGCCCGTGTGGCTGGAATACAGTGAACCAGCCAGAGAAAAGCGTCAGGGGAAGGAGAGAGGTGGGTGGGGCACTATATGCAGATCCCCCAAAGCTAGGCTAAGGAATCTGGGAGGGACTTGGTCCAGTATGTTTGTAATTAGCAATAATCGCGCCTTGGATAAACCTCATTGGCTACGATACTGCCACTCTCCAAAGCTGATCCAGTCTGTTTTTAAAAAGACTACTGTCCTTGGCTGATGGAGAATTTATTGAAGGGAGAACATTTAACTGCTGTGTGGGTGTAAAATTATATTATCTTACCAATAAATGATGGCAAAATAAATACAGAGCCTATAAAAATTCATAGTCTGTTAATTCAACTTCTACAATTATGTCTAAAAGACATGGAGATATATACACATACATATTCATAGTTGTTTAAAAAATGAAACATTAGTAACAATTCAAAAATCAAATAACTGTAGCAACAATAACTACATGTAACTTTTCGCTGTTTATAGCTATTTTTGTATATTAACTTTTAAACTTCCTTATAATTTTTGGAGATAGGTAATATTAATATTCCAGTTTATAGAGAAAGCACTAAGGGGTTAAGTATCTTTTCCAAGGTCACAGAGGTGGTGGGTAGGAGACCTGGGGTTCTGGCTCGGGCTGGTGAACCCAGAGCCTGGGCTTTTTACCACTACATTTACCACATTTACCACGAAATTACCAAGTGGCAACCAGCTAAGCAGCGAGCAGACCAGAAGATGGAATATTCTACAGTGAATATTGTGGAATGGAGTCCTCAAAGAATATTTCGTGACTTGGGTAAAATGTTTATAACATAGTATTTAGTGAAAGAAATCAAGACACAAAATTGACTATGTATGCTTTATGATCACGTACAATAAAAGGTACATACAGTTGTGGCAGGATTATTAATCTGTATCAGGCTTAATTCTTTTGAATCTTCCTCTCCTTCCTGGATCATAGAATTCTCTCCTTCTCACTGGAGGGGGCCTTTTTCCAAGCCTGTTTCGCATGGTAGGCATAGATCACCCACATCAGGAACAGCTCTAAAGACTGTAAATCTCAAAGACGGAAGTTGCAAGCTAATGATGTGTCGCATAAAAATATTCACAGGCTTGCTTGAGGAGCAGGTTTTTCTACTCCCTGAAAGACTTTGAGCTGCGAAGAGGAGGAAGCAGCCGGAGAGAATAAGCAGATGGGAGGAAGGAACTGAAAGACCTCCATCCCTGGGGAGGAAAATAGAGCTTTCCTTTGCAAGTGCCAGGCAAGTGTAGACACTGACTTCAAGCCAAATAGTCCTCTTGTTGCTAATTCAGGAATGTCACGATTACCGGCATAGTGCCTCTGGGCATCTTCCTTCATCCAACTGCTACCTGCAAACCATCCCCTGATGGGAAATCTGGAAACCTGTAGGGGATTTAGATGTCCAGCAAGAAGGTGATGGCTGGAATAGACGTTGAGCTGGGACAACAGCTAACATACATCTCCTAATACAGAGGCATAGAAACAAAGCAGAGGAAATACAGCAGAATGTCAGCCAGGCTCATATGTCAATGGTAATGTTACTTTCTTTAAACTTAATTGTATTCTCATGATATCCTATCATGTGTAATATTTATAACCAGAGAAAATTTTGAAATGAAGGAAAGAAAACTTGGAATCTTCATCAGGATATGCACCTGATACGTGGCAACTTCATCTCCATACTGGGTTTGACCACGACGGCCCCTGCAGTTTTGGTAAGAGTTCTCTTGCAAAGTCTGTCTGCATTCAGTACAATTTATAAAGCAATTCAAAGGCCCGGAGCACTTCCATGTAAGGCACAGGCATTAATGATTTTGCTTGGACACCCAAAGACATAGTCTAGAATGAGAGGAGCAATCTGAGGGTATCCTAACTTCAAGAGAGGATGAAATTAGAATTTTTGGGGCTGTGTTGTACTTTGTACTGCTGGCCTGAATCTTGTCCATAAGAACAGAAATTCCATTATTTTATCCAATCCCGAGACTGTATTTGGTGCATAGTTGTCGCTCCATAAACATTGGTCTACTGAGTAAAAACCCAGGCCCCATTTATCTATAGGGAAAGCAAGGTTTTCCCCCATGGTATTGTAGAGGTCAGCAAAGGTAAATATAACTTGGAACTTCTGACCTGTGATTGGGTTCCATGCAGAGGACTGCAAGGCAGGGCACTAGTCTATTCCCCATGCTGTAGGCCAAAAGGCTGCTTCCTGGAGGGATGTGGCCCCTCACATGAGTTTTCAAGGGTAAAGAAGAATTAGCCAATTAAAACAGAGTGGATTAGAAGGTGTCTAAAGTCTTGTGGTTGGGGAATGTGAGATTTGGGGGCGAAGTAAGGAAAAAGACATGACCATGAGGTGGCAGTAATGCATACAACTTTATGGGCAACACTGACAGGTTCAGGTTCAGGGCAGAATCCTTCACAGCAGAAGTCTGTCGGAAGGCTTTGGCTCTGGGGTTGCTAGTCTGAAGGGCAGGAGGAGGGCAAGGAAACTTGGTGTGGGGGAGGGGCAGGAGAGGGCGGGTGGGGCGTTGGGGAGGGGACTTCCCACCTGGGGTCCAGGCTTCCTAGAGCTCCATGGGCAGCAGCAGCTTGGGATCTTTATGGCCCAGGGCTTATTTATTGCCAGCGGATGTGAGGTGAGGTTTGGGGGTATGCAAAGCAGACAGGCTGTAAATGGCTAAAAATCTGCTTGTTTGGGCTATTTTTAAAATAAATGGATGTATAAAAATTGGAATTTGGCACTAGTCAGCTTATGAGCTAACAGATCTCAGTCTGTTGGGAAGAAGTAAACAACCTAGGAGTCAGTACACAGAGGCCGGCTCTGGCTCATTTAGAGAGCAGGCTCTGCGGGGTGCCTGGCGGATGCAAGCCGTTGGGAGTTCTTGGTGGAGACGGGCCATGGAGCCAGCGGAACAGGGCAAGAAGTAAGCATGGAGGAGCCTTGTGGGTCATTCTAAGAAGGTTGAACTCTAGGCTAAATGCAATTTGGGGGTCATTGAAAGAATTTAATAGTCTAACCATCTGCACTGTGTAAAGATCTCTTCATGTGAATAAAATAGGTACCTCGAGTTGAAAATACCGCCCCAGAGCCTTGCTACTCCAAATGTGGTGTTTGGACCAGCACAACGGGTACTGCCTGAGAGCTTCTGGTAAATGCACAATATCACGTCCTACTCCAGCCCTGGGTTGTTTTTTGTTTTGTTTTTTTATTCCAGTATAATTAACATACGGTGTTATGTTAGTTGCAGGTGTACAATATAGTGATTCCACAACTCTATACATTACCCAGTGCTCATCAGGATAAGGGTACTGTTAACCCTTCACCTGCCTCACCCATCCCCCCACCCACCTCCCCTCTAGTAACCATCTCTTGTTCTCTACAGTCAAGACTCTGTTTTCTCATCTGTCTCTTTTTTTCCCTTTGTTTTGTTTCCTAAATACCACATATGAGTGCAATCGTGTGGTATTTGTCTCTCTCTGACTGACTTATTTCACTAGCATGATACCCCCTAGCTCCATCCACATCGCTGCAAATGGCAAGATCTCATTCTTTTTTATGTCCAGCCTCGTGTTTTAAACGACATACCGGATAGATTCCTGGGCACATTTACACTTTGAGAATCACTGGTCTAGAGTAAATGGCCATAGATTTACCTTTACACTTCAAATATAGAATTATTCAGAAGCGGTTCTCTCTCACTAATTTTTAGTTCCTTCAAAGTTGCATATGTAAAAATATTTAAATGGCAAGGCTTGTGATAAAAAACAGCAATAACCCACCCACTCTTCCATTCTGGTTGCCCAAAGGCAATCACTTTCCACTTTTTGGGGCTAATTATTTCATACCTATGAACATGTTTATACTTATATTTTTTAGTATTAGGCTTTATCTACCAATTTTTCACTATAAAAGATGAGTATTTAGTATGCTTCCACCTCTGCCTTTCACCCTGCATAATAAAAATTCTCCCTTATCTTCTCTAATTAGAATTATAATTTTTATTTAAATCACTATCCAGTGTTTATATCGATATGGTTATGAAAATCCTATTTACAATTGAGTTTAGCACAATATCCTTTTCTTTCTTGCACAACTTTTCATTATTTTCTTGGAATTTTTTTTTCCACAAATGATTATTCATGCATCCACTACCCTTTGTCCTAAGTACAAAATTTCTCAAACAAATGAGATATTCTCTGTCTGTCTCTTTTCTGGTTTAGAGTCACCTGACATGCCCTAACCCAACCTGGTTGCTCTCGGAGCCCACTACACAGCCCTTAGCCTTAAAATCCTCTCGAAACCATCTTGGGAACCCCCCCATTTGTCTCTTATGCTGGGTTATTTTTCCCCAAGTCTCACATCTCCTTTTAATTTGTTCACTCCATCATTTTGGTGGCCCTTGTCATCCTATGGATGCTTGTGAAATGACATGTTTGAAATTTCACATCTTTATTCTACCCTAACCCTTAATTAGTAGTTCATGCTTCTATACTCCTCTGCCCAGAAGCTTTTAGAGTCTTCTTTCTGTCCTCACTCAAGTTCCCATAATTACAATCCTATGTTTTGCTGTGGGTTTAGCTCTATCTATATAATTGGAGACTCAGTGGGCCCCTGTATTTGTTTCATATGTCTGCGGTAGCAAAGCACTACAAAGTGTGGGGCTTAAACAACAATTTGTTGTTTCACAGCTTTGGGGGCTGGAAGTCTGAGATCAGGGTATCGGTATGGTTGGTTCCTTCTGAGGGCTGTGAGGGAGAATCTCTTCCATCTCTCTGTCTTAGCTTCTTGGCAGTCTTTGGCACGCCTCAGCTTGTAGATGATTCACCCAAATTTCTGCCTTTGTCTTAAAATGGCCTTCTCACTGTGTGCATCTGTATCTGTGTCCAAACTTCCCCTTTTTGTAAAGACACCAGTCATAATGGATTAAGGCCCACCCTCGTGATGTCATCTTAACATGATTACATCTTCCAAGACTGTATTTCCAAATAAGGTCACATTCTGAGGGTTAGGACTTGAACATCTTTTGGAAGGACACAATTTAATCCATAACAGCTCCTTTGAACTAGAAATTCAGTTCTTTCAGTTCTAGGAAATTTTCTTGAATTTTTTATTGAAAATTTTCCTGTCTTTTCTTATGTTCTTCTCTGGAATATTTGTTATTTGGATCATGGGACTTGTGAAATGATCCTCTAATTATATTAACTTTCCCTCTATTTTCTGTGTCTTAATTTTAAAGTCTGTATCTTCCAAACTTTTTATTTAATTTTTTATGTTTTTTTATCATATACAAACTCACAATACGCCATCCACCCACACATTGTCTACTTCTGTGTGTATAATTTCCAAGAGTTCTTTTTCATTCTCCGAATATTACTTTTTAATATCATCCTGCTTTTGTTTCAAGATGGCACTGTATTTCCTTTTTTCTCTGATAATATTAAAGATCTGATTTGAAGTTTTCTTTACCCATTGTTGTTTGTTTCCTCACTTTTCATTTCTTTCTTTGTCTCGGTCTATTCTCTTTCCATTACTTCTTAAACATTTTCTCATATTTAGGAGTAGGGAATACAAAGCTGAATTGATGCACTCTGTGTGTCTCCTGGGCTTGTTAATTGGTACACGTCAGTCTTGGATGGTCTGAGACATTCTGAGCGTTCAGTGAGGAAGGAAGAAAAGATTTAGTTTCTCTGTTTTCATATCCTCCACACCTCAGCTATATCTGGTGTCTGTTCTCTTGTGGTAGCTCATACCTAAAGATGTCTCTGCCTCCCAATGAACCATACCTCCTAGTATTCACATGTTTAGATAGTACACTTGTCTCGATTCTGGATGGGCCCTGTGACTCTCTTCTTACCAACCTAATGTGGGAGAAGTGATACTGCGTGATTTCCAACTGTATGTCATAGATTCTTTGTACTTTCCTCCGGGTTTCTCAGAATGCTTGCTTTAGAAGAAGCCAACCTCTGTGGATGAATTTCAACTCACCAGAGACTGCCAAGCTGTGATGAAGACAAACTGGCTCCACGGAGAGGCTATGTGTAAAGAAGAACATCTGGTCATTTGCTGCCTGTTCCAGTCATCCCAGCTGAAGAGCTAGGCATGAGAGTAAGCACTTCATCTTGAACAGCCAACTCATCCAAGCCTTCAGAGACTCCAGCCCAGCCACCATCTGTTCATAACTGTATTAAAGAGCTATAGTGGGAATTGTCCAACTGGGCCCAGTCAGCCCATAGGTATAATAATAGGTATAATAATAGATGATTATTTTATGTTACTTACATTGGGGGAAATGATTTGTTACATGCCAGTAGATTACAGAAACCTCTCCCATTCAACAGGACCCCTGTGTTATTCCCTTCCAAAGACTGTGTCTCTAATTTTCTGTTGAGGTGAAACAGAGCTAGTTCCCTAGATACACAGAGTAAGGGTGGGCACCTGAGAGTCCAGCTGCTCCTTAAAATGGTACTTGAATTCATTCACTGAATGAATGATCCCCCACTTTCCAACCACGGCATGACCCTCATAGCCATCAATTTCTGAACCATTTTGATGTTCTATCGTTATTTCAGGTTACTTAGTGCACAGTTTCTAGCACGGAAGCTTAGAACTCATGTTTCTCAAGTTTTCTAAGCAACTACCCCGTATCCATCTGCTTTCTGGCTTCCAAAATTCTGTTTCAGTTATTCTCCTGTTCTTTTTGTCTTTGTGGTTTTATGGCTTTTAAGGATTACTTTGTTTTGGTGGAGGATCTCTAATCAAAGGTACCCAGAAACCACTTTATTAAAGGGCACTACTCAAAGCAGAACATTGTAAACAAAATGAATGGGGACTTCAAACAGATTAACACTCATTACTTACAAAGAAGGACCACTTTAAAATTTGGGGCATTACGTTCAACAACCAGAGTTCCCTGAAGGACTAGCCCAGGTACCTTTCTAAGTTCATATTTACAAGTGGTAATACACAGATAGGCCAAGAAGTGCTTAAAAGCACCCTGCCAGGGATTCTGAATAAATATTACTTGAATCTATAGTAAGACTTCGGAGGGATTCAGTATGGCTCCTCTTTCCCTCAATGCCTTTTTCTTCCCCTGAACTGTTCTGCTGCACTGTGGTTCTGTAATTCATATATAATAAAGTCATATTCAGAAGTAGTTTGCTACAATAGTTTTGTTACAACTCATTATGGAAGTATTTTTTTTTCTGTCATAAGTAACAAAACTAACGACTCCCAACTTCTTTTAAGATGAGTCACATTTTTTGAGAACATAGCCAGGTACTGTTAAATTTTTAAAAATATCTTATTTTGCTTATAAAAGCCATACAACTTCTATAAAAAGCAAGTGGTTCAAGAGAGCAAGGAAGCTTGGGGAAGTTTTTGAAGGACAAAATTAGGTAGCAAATGATTTAAGCAACATCAATCTGTTAGGGTTTCCCTTTAATTTTTATGTCTGAACATATAGTTTTAGTTTACTCAAGGCCTTAATATGATTTAATAAGAAATCCACAGACAGACCTTTACTTTTAAATGTAGTATAACATGGTAATCATGAGGCTTTAATTTCAAGTTAATTATCATAATATGCTTGTAGCATTCATAAAAATCCTCTGGAATCTCCAGGGAATGAAAGTATTACATTCTGCTGCCCCCTGGCAGACATTTTGTTTACTGAATAATGTGAACTGCCCTAAGGAAAATGAAAACAAGATAGAACCTGCCCTGTCTGTACGCCTCCATGGGAGATAGAATATTCTTTTCGGTGTTTGTTGTCCTATGAGCAAATATTATCTCTGGTTGAAATTTGTTTGAATGAGGATTTTGCTGAAGCAGAACCAGCTCATCTAAATTCTTGGCTTCACTTTCTCTTAAGTGGGAATAGTTCATATTAAATGAATGCCAAAAGAGGATAAGCGTTATAAATAAATAATTAAAGAGAAATCCTACCCTCACCATTTTAGGTACTTTATTATGAACCGAAACTGTGAATCGTGAACTAACTAAAGGTAGAGTTGAGGTCCATATACATTCTCAAAGTTTCCAGGGATCAAAAGCATGTTAAACCATCAATGTCCAGCACACGCACCCACCGGAAGAGCCGAGGAATCATGTTGAGCTGGGGGGGAGGGGTGTAGATAACACTACCTGAATCATCTTGCCCATGTTACGTTGCTGTCAGAACATATAAGAAATAATGTGTGATCTGCAAACCCTCGACATGAGAGTCAAATCCACGTGATTAAAGATCTGTAGAAGATTTCCAAAGCAGGAGCGAAATAAAATATGAAGTATTCATATTTCTGTTTCCTCTTGCTTTTTTTGAGAGTAGAAGAAGCAGTGAGCTACCTTAATGGTGACAGAGGAGTAGAAATTTTCAAAGTCCTTAAGAGTTGTTTCAACAGACAGACTTGTGGAGAATACTTACCAAGAAGTCAAGTGGGAAATAACCTAGTCTTGTCTGCATTTCAGTGTTGTCCAGAGGGTTCTGGAGCTGGGAGGTGAGGAAATGTTGAGGGAGATCAGAGAGGGATCAAATTTGAATGTCAGCCAGTTACTGCTGTTGCCTGCTCTGCTCCCCAGGATTTTTACTGACTTCCAGATAGGATAGAATAGTTTCCTTTTAGGTTTTATTTCATATGATCAGGTTTTCTTCCAAATTTATTGAATCCAAAACTCTGGGATCAACCAGGGAATCTCCATTTTAATATTTTTAGGTGATATTTAGGCAGAAATGGATCTTGGTGAAACAATTTTTGTTATATTGCCTGTTTTCAACTGTATTGTCTCTTGGAATTTGATGGTAAAGAATATCCATATGATACCATATTGTAGGCAGTGGCAAATTTCCTAGATTCTTCTCAGGGCTCCTTGGACAAATACCAGACATGAATCCCATGTGAGTACACTCAATGTAAGATCTGCCTGTGTTT